AGCCGATTCGACGACTGCAAACTGACCAACGTGAAACTCTACCTAAACTCGGAAGTCTATCCGTACGACGATTTGAATTTGGACTTTGGTAAACACAGATGGGCGATTCTGTACGATATGTACGCGCGTTTCTGCAAGGGCTATTACGGATACGAATATCTCGAGCCGAGTCTCACCGTTTCAACTTTTCTACGTAACGGCCCGTTCGTGATCATCGATTGCTCTCGACAAAACAAATCCGTCAAAAACGCCACCGTGGATGTCAGACTAGAATTCGATTGCATGGAGAACGTACCGCCGAATACCTCTGCGTACTGTCTCATCATACACGATCGCGTGATCGAGTACAATCCGTTGACCAACGTAGTGCGCAAAATAGTCTGAGTGTTCGCGGCAACGTCGACGAAAATTTTTTCTCTCTTTAACTCCCGATACAAATTTATGAGAGGGGAAAAAGAGGGGAGCAGGATATAAAAATCAGAGTGTCGCGAAACGCGCGTCATTCCTCTCGATTCACGCATCGAAGAAAGAGAGATATTTCTTCATGTTTGCACCAACGTTCGTCGACCTGCAAGGTTTCGTCGTCGGGATGAAGTTTGTCGTGAAGGAGGTGGCGGTGCTGAGAAACGGGGTCATTCTGGCGCATTACATCTTTACATGCCCCATGCCGTGGAATCTCCTCACAAAATCCGACAAATCGTGCGCTTCCTGGTTGATTCGCAATCACCATGGATTACGATGGGAAGACGGAAACGTGTCGTACAGCAAGGTGAAGCGTTTAATTACATCAACGGTGCTCGGTGAGGAAGAGGACAACGACGACGACGACGACGAGATGCCGACTCTCGTGTACGTCAAGGGATGTCAGAAACGAGAATGGCTGGTAGATCTGCTTGAGAGTAAAGCGAGAAAAAACCTAAACATCGAGACTCTGGATGCGGATTACGAAGATATCGAATCTTTAAATATTCTAGATGCTACCAATACTATGCGATGTGGAAAACACGTTAAGAATTGCGCGTTGCAAAATGTATTAAAAATATTTAACTGGTGGTCGCGACGCCAGAGAGAATTGTCATCTTTTTAAAAATAAATTTTATACGTATGTGTAAATTTTTTAATGTTTTATTTCTTTTTCCTTTAGTCGATAGTGTACAAAATTAAAGAATAAGTAGGTATACGTGACGAATTCTAACTCGAGAGCTTCGAGGAGGGGGAATGGGGTATCAGTTTTAGACGAACATGTCTGAACATGTTTTGCGGTTGATGTCATGCGGAGGGGAGAGGGGGAGGGGGGGTATACGTCTTAATAAAAAACATCCTACCTTAGTCCCCTCTCCTAAAATTCAGAGCGCTGATTGCGCGTTACAGAAACATTAACTTCCCCTTCCTTCATCATAGTTTTGGAAGGGTTATAGTGGGTGCTGTCGCGTATACTCGATTAATTTTATACGACTAGTCTCGTATCGGCTGCTTGTGCGAACGGTCCGCTTCTCATAACCGAGAGAAAAAATGTATTCCGTTGGAGGAAGCAACGGCGGCAACAGCGGCAGCAGCGGCAGCAGACGTATGAATTATTACGTGCCGATTCCCGATGTTGAAACTCCAACGTGTGAAAACAAGTAAGTTTTGTATAATTTATAGAGCTTTATATTTTTTTATATCTTTTTTGCGAATTGTATTATTTTGAAAGTAATCTCATTATTTTTTTCTACAGCATTTCGTTGGATCGTCGCGCGGTTCGTATACTCAGCAGACGATACGCGCTGACAGCTACGGAATACAAATTCCTCGAAATTGGTATCAACGTGGGTCCACCGAGCTACGTGGAGATCGCCATTGGAGATCCTCGCCGAGGAAAGGAACTGCTGTTGTCTCTCGAAACGTGGAAGGCGCTATACGAGCAACGGCAAAATATTCAGAATTTCTTTCGCAATGACTTCAAAGATATCCATAGTTTTATAAACGTTGGACCGCTAACGGTGAGAGTTTGTACGGTTAATAACTCATACGTCTCGAATCTGCAAACGTATGCTTGAGAATGACCAAATCGACGTTGCATCGTATGTTCGATCTCGATCGATGCATCGATGCGAGATTCAATCATTTGATCAGAATACTTGCGACGGTCGATGCAAAGTTTGCGCAGTTCTCCGATATCGCGTCCACTGTGAAGGATCCCAAGGAAGCGTCGAATGTAATATACGCTAGCGATGCGTTCAATACGAATCAGATCATCGATTGTGAGCTCGCAGCTTTAGTTTTTAGCACGTAAGATATATTATGTAAAAGAAGAGTTAAATAAACAGGCTTTTCTTACACCCTAAAACGAACGATGTATTTTTCTTTTGCGTGCATGTCCTTCCCTATACCTAACTTTTTTTCCGACGTTTTATTGTTTCCCTTTTTTACCCCGTATATCTCGGAGTTTTTTTAGAAATTTTCTTAAAATAAATAAATAAATATTAAATAATTATCTATTCCCTTTCTCTTAGATAGTTCTCCTATACAGAAAAATAAAGAGAAGAGACCGCGACGGTTAAGTCGCATAAAATTTTGGTCGAGTACCTACGTCGCGCGACCATCGATGCTCGGCCATCCGCAGTGCGAGATGATATTCGTTTATAAATTCTGTCATCGACGTTCGTCGATACCCATAGAAATTGAGTCGCGTTGCCGCGCTTATGCCGTCTAGTGTTTATAAAATCTAGCAGCCTGTCATCGGCGCTCGCCTTTGTAACGCGCGACGCCATAGCCGAATGGCGCCGCGAAACACCGATAAGCGGCAATTCCTACGAAGAAAAGTGAAAAGGACCGTGGTGTCACGATAGTCGCAGGTCGTAAATTATAGCCGCCTGCCATAGGCGCTCGCTCGCATTTGATAAGTGTGAAATGATATCTGTTTATAAATACTATCGGCCGAACATCGACGCGAGGCTGCATTTGTTTATCGAACATGTCCCGACGCGCTCGCCTAATCCACCCCCCCCTTCCCCCCC